AATAGGCTAATCATTTCAGACACTGCTAAAACGATCGCTACTCATATAAAATTATGCGCAATTAATCATATACCCATATCTACTAAATTCGTGACACAGGAGGAGAAGGATTCCAGTACTGAATTATCAAGTGATGACTCTTTATAATAATGGTCGTACCTCATAATGGGTTGAAATCATTTGCTTATCCCATAATGGGTTGAAACCACTATATTTGTATCTTAGTTCAAACTGATCGATATTGTGTTTGGCGGCTAATGTAAATGCTTGGCGGCTAATGCTTGTACTCTAGCTTCGAGTGCTGGGGAGTAAAAAGGAGAATTAAACTCATAAAAGGGATTCAGCTGAATCTAGCATGCAGATATGTTGTGCTCTCCATCTATTATGTGCTCTCCATTATTATGTGTGTGGTGTAATGTGTCCTTTAAAGCTTCCCGATGCAGCGAGTCGCATCCTTACCTTCAAAATAAGTTCGTAAAGATCATTGAAGAAGTGCTTAATCGCCTCCTCAGGCTTCAGAGGTCTGTGCAATAATAATATCTTGGTGTAGTTTGGGCCCACAAAGCACGATACTGATGATCCAAGTATTCTGTCAACCACTTTGAGATAGGTCTGAGACTGCGTCCATAGTTGTGACTCGGTAGGTTCCAGAGCTGCCAGACATTGCAGGTGGTCTGTACTTATAACTGTCATGTCCTCTTTCTTTTTTGTCAGGTTGGTCTCATACAACAACTGGTCACCCTTGCCCACCACGACCAACACCAATTTCGTTGTCATATGTGGTTTAAATAATTCCCTGCGTGCTGCAGGGATAGACACCACCGGATAGGGCAATATAAGGCTCAATAGGCAGCAGGCTGAATGTTGGTACCACAATTGATTCTGCATGCTGGTATAACATATCTCTTCTCACCGAAACGTTTAAAGTACTGATGCAATACCATGAAATGCCATGCCCCCCCCCCCCCCCTCCTACAGTATATAGCTCTGGTCATTTCTGTTACCTTGTAGAAAGAGGCGATGGACTGGGTTAGGGACTAGTGTACTGTGCAGCCTGATAGATGCCTGCTGTATTTGTTTGCTGATCACCCCCATTATGGCTCAGGTCCCGATTCTCCATTATGAAGAGAAGGGTGTGCAGTGTTGGTTGCTATTTGATATGACGGTCGTCACCCTCGGTGGCTGGCTTATAATTCCGTGTTTGATTGCCTTACATCTACAAGATCATATTGGTAACCAACAACTAGCCCTTCTGCCCCAGAGACATTGTGAAACTGTAGGCCCTGTGTCATGTAGTCTGGCTGTTGTTAACGTCGTATTCGCTTGTTTACTCTCTACAAGCATTTACGTGATGGCTGGAAACTTTCTTGGGGTGGAAGCACCATCGGGGGCGGACTTTATGCTTCTGAAGACGCACACGATAGTACGGTGGATGTTCTTAAACGTGTCCGTATTGGGGGTTTTCATATCCGCAGTTCTGTACGGCGTTGGCACGGTATCATTCCCTGCAAGTTCGATTGTATGGCAAAAAAGATCCGCTGTTACCGATCGCGATTTAACGGAATTACGCGAATGCATTGAGGCGGCATCGGCCGAGTTAGAGGAAACAAGAGAGCAAGAACGACGTAGGACCGCCTCCGGCACCACGCTATCTGGGAACACACACCATCTTGAAACCGTTTTAAAAGACTTGCAAGACCAGTACGATGAATCTGCCAATAGAAAAAGAATAGAAACCGATACTAGCCGCATATTAGAAGGTGCAGGATGGGTCATGGGTGCGGTCGGAGTATATAGAGTAATATCTGCAGCACTCAACATCATCTACTGGAGAGTTCCCGTCGGAGAATTCGTAACACCCATCGTCCATAACGTCTTTGAACTGCTCAAGCTGCCCCGTTTTCTACCTATTCTGAACGTGAATCTCATAGCCAATGTAGCCACAGTCACATATGTCGTTGCGCTAATTAGTAGTTCCATCCAAGGTTTCACCAAAAGCGTATGTCACACTCTGAACGCAACACAGATACACTGGATAAACTGCTACACTGGATGAACTGCTGCACTGGATGAACTGCTACACTGGATGAACTGCTACACTGGAGGCAACGTGTATGAATTTCAGCTGAATAAGGTACTCCAACGATACATTAGTGCGGAAGGTATTGCAATAACACCATTACTTTTCGGATCGCTTTGCCGCTGCTTTTACTGCGCTGGTTCACTCATAATATTTCGACCTGCTTTCTCCAGCAGTATTCAGTATGACACACACCCCGGTATGACACCCAATATGATGACACACACTTCCCAGTATGATGACACACACTTCCCCTTTCATATCTACCCTGAATGATACTTCTGGTATGCTTCCCATTTGGTATCATAGGTCCGTAGTGGAAGACTTAATCGGGACGCAGCTGGATCAGTTCTATATCCAATTCGACAGTGTTTTTGTTGTCAGTTCAATAGCAACCGCGTTGGCCTTTTTGGTAGGTAGATTATGATGATTATTTCTCATGCTTGGGTATGAGCTGGCATAGGGTTATGGTATGAGCTGGCATAAGGTTATGAGCTGGGCTATGGTACGAGCCGGGCTGTAGTCCGGGTTGTAGTCCGGGTTGTGGCTAAGTCCAGCATCCGTCGCTGGTTATACTTTGTGGGTTGCCTAAATTTCACAGCTAGGCCATTAAAAATTCCGCCCGGATGTGGATCTATAAGGGGGTCAAGTATTTATGCAGAAACAAGCAGCGAGACCTTAAGGAAGGGGAGGTACCCAAGGTATGTTCTTTTGCTACCGTCATGTCCATATTATGTCCGCCTCCGTTGGTGGGCCGTTTTTCCCATGTTTCTGTGCACACGCGTGTTACCTCATGTTTATGTAGTATGATAGCAATAATAAACCCATCTCAATTACTTACTTTCAAGATGGTTGGGACTGGTTGCTTAAGACGCTGACGATTATATCGAATCTACTGGCCGGCGGGTCAATAGGATTATTTGGCTGGCTCTTGTCCCAGTTGGCGGATTCCCTGTTTGACTCCGAAGGGAATTGGAAGATTTGGATTGTTTACATGGCATTAGATTGTGTTTTACTTGGTGTGATGTTGACTCTCGGTACATACTTTGCCGAGTGGTCTGCTGAAAGACAGTTGTTGAAGATCAGGCAAAGATTTTTGAAAGAGGTCATGCGTCAGGACATCTCATATTTTGATGGTTACGATGCCACTGCTCTGGCTTCCAAGTTGATGATGAATACTCGGCTAGTCCGAGACCTCATTGGCATTCGCACATCAATGGCTTACATGTACATCGGCGTGATCACCGCGTTGATTCGGATCGCTTTTCAAAACCAGGCTGGTGTTGCCGGAGTGTCCCTGTGCGTACTTCCCGTTATTGTCCTCTCGGGCTGGTGGGCTGGCAGGATCGAGTACAATGCATCACTCAAGGTGAAGGAATCAAATGAAACCGCCAACAGCGTCGCACTTGAGGCCTTAAGCAACATGAGGACGGTGAAGGCCTTCAACATGCAGGACGTGATGAAGGCGAGGTATGGCGTCTGTGCAGACACTGCGGAAACCGAAGTCAACAAGGCTTCTGTCAAGACCGGGTTCGGCTACGGCATCTACTGGCTCTGCATTTTTTGTTCGAGCGCGTTCGGGTACTGGTACGGCTCGTACGTGCTGTACAACGCGTCTATGAAGTTTTGTCCCGATATTGAAATTTGCGAGAGTCCAGGTTCAATGATTGGCGCATACATATCGGTGATCGTGGCGGCCTTTTACATCGGCAAAGTCATTCCCTGGCTTGCAGACGTGCAGCAAGGCAACTTGGCTGTCCGGGAGACGGTCGCACTATACGACCGGCACAGTCTGGTGGACCCGTACAACCCCGACGGCATTACCGACCTGTCGAACGTCCAGGGGGAAATAAAGCTGGAGAACGTCGCCTTCTCCTATCCGACGCGCTCCGACGTACCGGTGTTCTCGCGGCTGAACCTCACGATACCCGCGGGGAAAAGTATAGCGCTAGTTGGAGCCTCTGGCTGCGGCAAGTCCACCGTGATTCAGCTCGTCATGAGGTTCTACGATCCGCAGTCCGGGTCGGTGACGCTGGACGGTCGCCTGCTCACTGACTACAACGTGAAAGCACTGAGGGAGGCCATTGCCTGGGTTAGCCAGGAGCCGAAGCTATTTGCGTTGTCCATTGCCGAAAATATCGCGATTGGGAAGCCCGATGCGACTCGCGAAGAGATCGAGGAAGTCGCGAGAAAAGCCAATGCACACGAGTTCATCTCGGCATTACCGGAGGGGTACGATACGTGGGTCGGTGACGGTGGCAATCAGCTGTCAGGTGGTCAGAAACAGCGGGTGGCCATCGCTAGAGCCTTGATCAAGAGACCCAAAATCCTCATCTTGGACGAGGCTACAAGTGCTCTGGATAACAAGTCGGAGCAGATGGTCCAGGAAACGCTCGACGACATTGTTGGCAAGTCCCAGATTACGACTATCATCATTGCACACAGGCTGACGACCATCCGCAACGCAGATGTCATTGCCGTGCTGAACAACCCCACGGACAGACATAGCAACTCCGGTGATGGTGGCGGACAGGAGCTGGAAGAGATGACTGGGAGCTCTGTGGTGGAACTTGGGACCCATGAAGAGCTAAGCAAAATACCGGATGGCATTTATGCCGCCTTGGTCGCTATCCAAACAGAGGGGCCTACTGAAGAGGATGAAAAGGACCGGGCCTTGCAAGCCTCCGGAGAAGAAGGAGTGTATGAGGCAGCCGATTACAGCCCACGGGATTCGGCAATACTGGTGGGTGGCACTCTGTCGAGACAGATGAGTAAGCAGAACAGCAAGCAATACCGTCAGAACAGCAAGCTACGTCAGAACAGCAAGAACAGCAGGACGGGTGGCAGCTTCGAAATGCGGACGCAGTTGAGCAAACAGCTCGGTGACGTCGCGCGTCAAGAGAGTTTGGTCTTTACTGCCGGCTACCAGCCCCCGCGTTTGTTCCGACGCACTGCAGCCCCGATTAAGTCCAAGATGGTGCAGCACATTCTGGGCGTCGTGTGCTACGTTGTTTACCAATGCATCTGGCCGGTTTACGGAGCGTTTTATGGTACGTTTTTAAAGACGTTTGTGGATGCGGCGAACCCGGACAGGCTCAAGCGAGAGTCCAGAAAGAATACGATCGTTATGATCTGCATCGGCATCTGCTCGTTTGTGGCTTTCTGGGGGCAACGCTGGTTCGTCTCGCAGAGTGGCCAGGCCGTGGTCCGCCAGGCCCGTGAAGGTGCTTTTGGTGGCATTATGAAGCAGGAGATGGGTTTCTTCGACCAGCCGCATAGGTCCCCTGCGCGATTGGGCCACATCTTGGGAGCGGACACATTCCTTTTGGGAGAGTGGACTTCAGGCAACACCACAATGTGGTTAGGCGTCGGCGCGAGTTTGATTCTCGGCCTGGTCCTGTGTTTGCAGGCGAACGCGAAGCTGGGGGGAGTGGCACTCGCTATCGTGGCGGCTCTTGTCCCGATTACGTACGTGGCGAGCACTCTTGTGACCTCGGGGGGGAGCATCCGCCTGAAGAAAGGCGAGGACAAACTAAGCAGAACGTTGGGCGACATGAGTGCTTACGTGACCAGCATTATCATCAATATCAGGACGGTCACGGCGTACAACATGCAGCCTCAGTGCGAGGCCGAGTTCGACGAGATGGTAAACATTTTGC